GTTAATGGAAGATGTTTTTAGTTCTTCCATCTCATGGAACTGGAATAACTGAGGTGGAGTCTTCTCAAAGGTCTTAATTTTTGTATGGGTGAATCTTGCAAATGATTTCAGATTTGCTGGCTGCTGTGACAACTATAACCATATCCTAGACAGTTTCTGGCTGAACTAACAGATGGCCACATGCTGGATTAAGATCAGTGGTTAGGCAACTGGAAATGATTCCTCTGTCATAGACAGGCCATTGCCTTTTGTTCTGTGACATTAAGCTCTTATGGGAAGGAAAAGATCAATTTTTTTGGTCCATTTTAGATGTTAATAAGAGCCAAATGGTTTCTTCAGTGTTGAAGGAGAGAGTGTGATCAAAGTAAGTTTTTTTGACTTGTTGGTGGTTTTATTTTTTCCTAATGAAGGTTCTTTTGGATGCAGCTGGTTGGAAAATATTAATTAATTAATTAATTAAATTAATTAATTGATTGATTGAAATTTCATCTACTAAGTTCTTGGAAAGTGTTGACTAATTATGGACTACTTTGTGCTTATACCTGTATTGATTGCAATTTCTAAATTATCAGGATGCCTAAAACTTATAGGTGGGTGCTTCTTTTAAACTTAAAGACTTGAACTAGCAAACCACACCCGTGTTTTGGTGGGCAGGTTGTGCATAAATGTATCACAATGTCTTTCATGGGACTTATGATGATATATAAAATGCCAAGCTTTCTTTGATGTGTTTTGTGTTTCTTCACAGTCTCTCAACCAGCATGCTTTCGCTCTCTTCAGGCAGCAGCCCTGGTTCTCTTGCATCTAGTAGAGGATCTCTTGCTACCTCTAGCCAGGATTCTTCCACCTCAGCCAGTTTTACTGATCTGTATTATGAGCAGTTGGAACAGCTGGACTCTGAGTATCAAAACAAAGTGGACTTTTTACTTCTTGAGGGAGGCACTGGATTTAGGCCTTCTGGCTACATCACCACTATTCATGAGAACGAGGTAGCAAAAACTCACAAAACAGATGCCACCAGTCGGATCCAGGCATTAAGATCATCCTTATCTGGGACACCCAAATCAATGACATCATTGTCTCCAAGGTCATCTTTGTCTTCCCCCTCTCCACCATGCTCACCACTAGTATTAGACCCACTTTTACCTGGAGATAACTTTTTGAGCCATATGGACTTTGAAGATACAGAAATAAATACAAGTTTTTCTGAACTCACTCTAAATCCTGGCAGTAGTGGCTATAAACTAGAAGAGCCTACAGCTGAGGACAAACATCATGGCCAAGGTATAGTGACAACTCAACCCAAATGACTTTAAAATGCTTTATTAAAAACTTGTTAATTTTTTTTAACAGCAAAGGAATAAGCTAAAAATAAAACATTGGTCTGTACTTTGGTCACCTAACTATACGTTCTACCTTTATTGGAAAACAAGTTGATAAGTTTAATTCATGTCCAAGAATGTTTTACTTGAGTCCTACAGGTTACTGTGGAATTTTAAAATTTTAGTGCCTAAATAAGGGTGCCCAGTTCCTCACCAGCATAGTGGTTTGTCACTTACATGCACAAAACATAAATTTTATTACTTGTATTCAAAACATGAAATAAAGTATTTAAAATTGAATGCCCCAAAAGGACATATGGAGAAAAAAACAGCTTGCTGGCTGAAATCTGTGGGGAGACTGGGGCAAGTTAGTCAACAGTTAAAAACAAACAAAGAAAAACATCCTGGGAGAATGCTAGGTCTTGTTTTGCTCCCTGTAAAATCAGTGGTAGCACTGGCATTGATTTCAGTGGAGCAGAGATAGCTAGGTTGAGCTTGAGCACTAGCTGTTTTGATACCTTAGTCTCTTAGCAACAATAACTTGTTTAGGTAATAAGCTCTGCAAAAATAAAACATTTAGAAATACTGGATATTCTGGAAAATAGGTTTGATACAAGAGTAAACGTTTTCCTCTTCTGAACCTACTGGCCCTGTATAAATAGGTTAAGAGCATCAGATAACAATTAGCACAATCGATCCATGAAGACACAGCCCAAGACCTCTTTGGATTCCCATTGATTTCAGTGGTGTTGAGACCCGTGTGAATAAAGTGGCTTTACTTGCTACTGTAGTGAAGGAAAAAAAATCATACTAGTGCTGTAGGCACCTACATATTAGGGTTGTGTGAAGTGGGCCATGTTGAATTTGGATTCAACTTGATTCGGGGGACAGTGATTCGATTCATTGATTCGGATCATTGTCCTGATTCAGTTTTGAGTCAGAGAGTCAGTGATTCGGCCGTAGACACAGCTCTTTCTACATACCTTAAAGTATCAGGTGTAGCTCGTGTATGCTGAGATGGTGGGGCGGATGGAGCATCCCACAGGAACACAGGGGGGCCCCCCACCGAAAGTACTTCTGGTCCACTTCCAGATCCACAGCTGAGCACATGAGACCCCCCCCCCCCCTGCCCCCCCGGCTCAGCAATTGACCACGGGGGGACCCCAGGTGCCGCCCCAGACCCAGTTGCCAACGTGGGTGGGAGCAGAAGGGTCCCCTTGTGCACACCATGGCAGACCCAGAAGTGGACCAGAAGTGCTTCTGGTCCACTTCCAGGTCCACCACCAAGTGCACTGGGGACCCCCCTGAGCTCCCGTGGGATGCTCCATTTGCCCCACTATCTCAGGATTCATGAACCACTTAGTACCTTGAGGTATGTAGAAAAAACATATAAAGCTGTGTCTATGTCTGAATCGCTGAATATCTCCGAATCGAATTGGAGGCTTCCGATTTGATTCAGCGACATTAATGGGTTTCCTGATTTGACTCAGATTCGGAGGTTTGGCTGCCAAATTGGGCCAAATCTCCACCAAATTGAATCAGCAAACAAAGCTTTGCGCAGCCCTACTGCATCTGCTTGCTGAATACTGCAGTAAAAAATGGGATGCATGTTGTAGATGTGGTGGTCTAAGAAAGAGACAAACAAAGCTCTTGGGTTAGAGGCAATATCTTGTATTAGACCAACTAATAACCAGGAAAGAAGACATTTTTACATTAGACGTCTCCAGAGACAAAGTCTGCCTAATCTGCATATCGCAGAGTAACTCTCTCACAAAAGGACTCTGAGCAACCCAGGGGAAAAAAACTTCCACTGTCTACCTCCCCTGTCCAAAATGAAGTTTCTTTTCTACCTGGGAGAACTTTCACAATCTTTGAATTCATCTCAACCTGACGAAGAGTGTTTGGACTTGAAAGCTTGCAAAGACAATTTGCTGCTATTTAGTTGCTCTAATAAAAGATATCGCCTCTAACCTAAGAGCTTTGTTTTGCAAAAGCAAATGGGTTTTGAGTCCTTCTAATGCTTCATTTTCTGGATGTCCTGAAAGAACTCTGTGAGGTACAGGAACTAGTGAAGTGTGATCGCTATTTGTTTTCATCTTGCATCTGAAATTGTTCTCATTTGGAGGCTTCAGCTGACATAATATTTAAAATTCTATTGAAGAGCTGAGCTGAGGCTTTCCCCCTTCTCTGCGCTCTCCCATCCCCTTAGAAATAGATACTGTGGGATTTGAGTGTAAAGGAGCAATTATTCCTGTTAAAACTGGACACTGATTAGTTTTCACGTTTTTAGCACTTCAAGATTTGTCAAGGCTATTACAGTGAAAGCTAAGGTATTAAGCAGATTAAGTGATTATCGCTATTATTCAGTCAGCAGACAAAATAATCACCGTAAGTAGTTTATTTCAGGGGTATAATGAGCAGAGGTTTCACTTTCTAGGCATTACTCACAATTAAGCGTAACGCTAAAATGGTGTGGCTGACCCTTAGTACTTGGCTTCAAGGGACAATATCTGCTCACGTTTTTACAAATAGAATTAAAGGATATCTCTGAGGGTTGGTTTTTTTTTTTTAGTTTATTTTCTTTTAACAACCTCATGAGGTTTTTGCTGCTTTTATATTTAAATGTGCTTCCCCTTTTAACATTAAGAATGGTGGTTTAGGTTCCATCTATGTATTACTGGTACGTTTTCAAACATGTGGAGCAAGTGCATTGGGCCATAGGCCATAGCATGGCATAAATGCAGAGTAGGTCCACTGATGGGACTTAGCAAAATTTAACCCCTAGAGAAAGTCAACAAGGACAAATTCTGCCCTCTGCTTCTATATTTCACAGTTTCAATTGGCTTTGAAAGAGCAATTGTGCATGAGTGATACTGGGGATTAGTGTGATAACCAGTCTTTAGGTTCATATTGGCCTTTCATGTATCACTCGAGTATTGCTTTAGAGTCTGTGCAGCCCTGTCAGGGAGTGGTACAAGCTTCTTACAGGGAAGATACCCCATCGGGGATATAGTAAGGCACAGAGACCCAGTTCTCTCTGATTCAGTTCCTGATGCTGGGAATGGTTCTGATATCTTTATCAATCAGGGAATTTGTGCTTGAGCTACGTAGTTGGTATTAGCGGTGATTTTACAAAATCATGGTATCAGATACAGTTCTGTGTGCACAGTAATAAATTGAACTTGAAGTCATAAAGAGAATACACAAAGATTAAAAAGTAATCTGCATCATTGGTAACTTTCTTTCACTTTTATGGGCTGTATTTGAATGAAAAATAATCCAGTTACATGATGCATTCTATATACTAGTTTCTGCCCATGTCCTGACAAAATTACATCAGCGATTTGATACAGTGTCTGGACTGAACCTAGAGAAAAATTCTCTCCTTTTCAGGTTCATTGGGAAAGGCACCACTCTGCCAACATGGTGTCCCACTGTTAGAGGCAATGGAGTGACAAAAAACACAGCAGAAGATTTATTTATATTTTGATATTGGATCTAGTTCATTTGTAACAATCTCTAATATTAGGTTCATATTATCTCAAAATCAGCAAATGTTAAATGGTATCACATGGAAAAAATATAGGTACTATATTATGTCAAATGAAGTTTAAAAGCTGTGTCGGTCCATCAGTTTTTAGACAGAATTCCCTTCTGGAATTCAGTGAGGATCATTGACTGTCTAAATCTTGAAAATAAACTTTCCAAAGCACTTACTGTGCAGCTTCCTGCTCATGTGACTAAAGATTTGCAGGGCTGGACCCCAGTTCCTTCAGTATAAAAGTCCAAAAGTCCAGTGTAGATTAGAAATGCATGGGCCAGTCTGGAAGAATTCTGACTGAACCTCTCTTTAGACTGAAGAATGTCCAGAGAGCATTTTCCCACATTGTTCGGTATTGTGCAGCCTCTGCGCTACTTGTGTCCGGCAAGGTCAAGGGCATCTCCGTATACTGCCAAGGGCTTCACACTGTTTCTGGCCAAAACAGAAGCTCAAGGTGCCAGACTTCTCCTGAAACCACTTTTAGCAAAATGCTCTGTCCCGGCATAAATAAATACTCAGATCCAGTGTTGTAGTGGGGGCGGGGAGGGGAGGGCAGGTGACCACCCTGAGCGCCAAAGCGAAAGGGTGCCAAGAGGCGCTGCTCAGCCGGGGTGGAACACAGGATGGAGCCACGAGCAGCTCGTTTGGGAAGATGTAGGATTGGGGGAAGGAGGCTCCAGCTGCTGTGTGCACTCCTGGGCAAGCATGGGGGAGCATGTGCCCCCCAGATCTGTGTGCAAGGCAAGGGTGGGCTGCCACTGTGGGATTTTCCCCAGGTGCCAAACTTCTTTGCTACTGTACTGGTCAGATTCTTGAACCCTATTTGAAGCCAAATATCTGAAATGTTCATCTTTTAAAATGGTTCCTAAATAATCATCTCAATTTTATATTGAGTTAGTAGAGAAACTTTATCTACTGGTACATGTTACTGTTTTTTTAAAAAGCAAAAACTCTGACATGTCACTCTTTTAGGAGTTGGGCTGAGTGCCTTTTCATGTGTTCCTCATTAACTGAGGAGGTTTATTTTTAAACCTTTGTTGGCTTCTTGGGTTGTGGAGCAGTCTGGGACTGGCAAGCACAGACAGTCCTGACTTTATCAGCTCCATTACACCAACTCTGAATGGGAAACTGTTTCTTCTGGGAGTGTCCCCAGTTGTGTATCAAAGCCCACAAAGATATTTAGAGACTTCTGTATTACAGGTGTCTCTACTACATCCATTTTCCATAGCACTCGACACCAAGCAGCTAAGCAGGTGGCCATAATATTTAACTTTCTATTTTACTGATTTTTTTTAATGTAACAGCTAGGAACTTCCCAGACAAGAGAACAGGATCCTTATCCTGAGAAACCTGATGCAATTTTTGCTCTCATCCTACCCAGAGCTCCCCCCCACCCTGCCACTTGTTCAGTCCCATTTTTCTGGTTTGCCATTGCTGAGTTCCAGCTAAGCAGTTTTCTTCATAGAAGTACAAAAAGAAAAGGTTCCATTTTGAGCACCAAAGACCTGGCATGTAGCCCTCCTAATAATGTCTGGCTTTGGACTGTCTCTGTTCAAGGAAATTTGCATTGGTAACACAAGACTATAGCTCCTGCCACCTGAAAGAAGTTGGCATCCAGAATTTGTATGTAGAAGAAAGCAGAAGCAAAATGAAATATTTTAATAGATTTAAGCATTCTTTCCCAATCACAGGGAGGGAGAAGAAGGGGCAAAAATGCAATGGAACCAGTTTGCAAAATAATGCTCTCTCTCCAAAGCAGAAATAGTTCTGTATATAGTGGTTCTAAATAAAATTCTTTCATCCTTTTTGGCTACAAGGCACTCAGCTGAAGTGATCCAAAACAGAAGCTTTATGGGCTGAAGTGTTCACATGGCATTGGTTAATAGAAGAGAGAGAGAAAGCTCAAGTGGGCAGGAAACAACTTGTGGTGTTTTTGTTTAACAAGGAAGTTTAATACAAAAAATTCTAGCTTTACATATACTGGGGGCAGTACACGTCTGAACTGATTTGAGCTATAAAGCAAGTCAGGAGGGGACAATAATTTTCATATTAAAACCTTTGGAATAATGGACACGTAACAGTAATACAGAGAGAAATAGAGAGCTTAATCTTGGCAACCCTTATTTTCAAAAAATGACTATATAGGGCTTGCTTCCATACCTATAAGGTGCATCTACACGAGACACTTTAATACACATTAATTTAATGCCCAGTAAAGCGTCACCTTCTATACATGTACAACAATACCTGAGCAGTATATTAGCCTAATGCACCATTTTCTAGTACCTGTAAGTACAGGTACTTGAAAAATGGTACATTAAGTAATGTGCCATACCACACATGTAAATACTGACTGGGAGCAGTTTGCATCCAGTCAGCCTAGGCCATGGGGGACAACAGCAGGTGAGGAGAGCTGCTGTGGCTGCTGAACAGCTGCCTCCCAGGCATGTGGACATCAGGGCAAGCTCAATCTCCCCCTAGCTATGATGGAGCTGCCCACAGAGCAGCTCCCCCAACCTCCAGAGCTCAGTGCTAAGGCCCCCCCCCACCTTCTGCCAGCCCAGGGCTAACACCCAAGGGAATGTGGAGCTCCCCCTGCCTGCTGCAGGGGGGCAGAATAGGGCAGGAGCAGCCTGTGCTCAATTTGCTCCCGATGGGGGCACAAGTGTAGATGTGCACTGGGGGGTACTTTAATGAGCCTGAATTTTCTTCACAAAAAATTCAGGTTAATTAATTTTACGTGTAGACATGCCTACCGGGTACTTCTGTGTGCTTCAGTTGGATACAATAGGAGTAATGCCTCTAATAATGGCACAGGAAAAATATGTTTGAATGTAAAATACAGTCCTCAAAACTTACTGTTTGGCTTTTTTCCAATTAATGACTGATCTTGTATGTTGTGAATGTTTTCTAGCTAGTTTTTATGTGCTAAGATTTATGAACATGTCAGTAAGAGGGGAAAAAATACAAGGATGCAGGAGAAAATATCCCTAAGCTGCATCTTATAAAAAAAATAACGTTCTGGCTATATAGTCGTCAGCTGAATCACTGAAAAATTAATCTATTTTAATTTATAGGAGTTGCCTATATTGCTCTCCTTGTTTTATTGTAAACCAGTTTCTTTTATAAATCTTGTTGTTACCTTCTTTAGGCTTTCTATAATACTCTGGCTTAATTTTTTTTTTAACTTGCTCTCTCCTCTGTCCTTTTCTGTTATTCAGTGGATTTGTGGTTTTCAGTCATCTTCCCTGCAAGTAAATTCCAACTCTAGCAGCCTCCTTAGACACATTGTTCATCCAGAGCCCAGTTGTTCAGGTTAACAGGTTCTTTTGTTCTGCATCTTCCTCCAGATGGAGTGAATGATACCATCAAGACCTTGTCTAACCATGGCTGACTTGCTATACCAAATAAGAGTTTTAGTTGTACTGTAATTTCATAAAATGAATTGGCACTCATAAATTGCACAAGGAAATATTATCCAAATCATCACAGATGCCAAACTGCCTTTATGCTTCCCTCTCTACCATTGAGTGGCTGCTTGGTGGCTTCAGTATATTTACCAGAGGATGACCATCCCTATCACAATAAGTACAATTGGTAGTGTTGCCTGCAATCCTATTGGCACTCATAGAATAGGACTCCAGGATTAAGCAGGCCATGAACTTCCTCTTTAGCTCAAGTGATCAGAGTTGAGGCACCCTGTCAGATAAAGCCTGGGCTGTGCTGCTCTGCTGTCTGTGCGGTGTCTGGTCTGACCTTGTACATCCATGTAGAGAAGCAACTTTCCCTTCTGCTGCTTATGCTGTTCCTGCTGTTTGGCTAAAGAGACATTTTGACAGCCTTGGAGCCCTGAGATCTGGCACTAATTTAACACCAGATAAGGACTTAGGACCCAGACATGAGACATTCCACTTCCATCTGAATTCAGGAGCCTATTATCACTTGATGACCCTTGACTGAACAGGGTAGTTGTTAATGCTGCCAGCTCCTTTTCATTAATGCTTTTGTTCTTCCTTCTTGCATTTTCTGATAGGTGTTAATACGGTTGGAGGGGCTGCACTGAAGGTGGCATGCGTGTCAGCTGCCGTGTCTGATGAATCTGTTGCTGGAGACAGCGGGGTATATGAGGCATCTGCACAAAGGTATAATCTAGGTCTCTATGTAGTACATTCCGATGCATATGCTGATACTAAGTCAACATTGTCAGATGGTATTTTATTGTTGTCTGCAGGTCACTGATTAAGGCTTTCCAAGATTTTAGACCATTTCTTCAAAAATTATAAAGAGGATGAATTATGCTACAATGAAAGTTTGATGCTTTGTGAAATGAAAGTTTGTTTTGCATTGTGAAAGCCACTATTTTCCTCCATGCCAATTGTCATATTCAAGTTGAAACCTTGTGGAAATTATCAGCTGAATTAAGTTAAACAGTTTCTGGGAATGAGGCTGTTGAAAAATGTTGTTCTCATAGGATCATAAAAAGTAAGGCAGAAAGGGACCTCGCAAGATCATCTAGTCTAGACCCCTGTTTATGGCAGGATCATCCCTGACTAAGCTGTTTCAGCCAAGTGTCTGTCCAGCCTGCTCTTGAAAATTTCCAGGGATGAAGGTTCCATCGCTTCTCTAGGTGCCTGTTCCAATGTTTGACCACCCTCGTAGTCAGAAAGTTCCTCCTAACCTCCAACCTATATTTCCTCTGCTGAAGCTTGAGGCCATTACACTTACTCCTATTCCCCGTGGCCACAGAGAAAAGCCCATCTCCATTCTCTCTGTAATAGTCCTTCAGGTATTTGAAGACTACTATCATACCCTCCCCTGAGTCTTCTTGCCAGGCTAAATAGCCTTGTTCTTTTAGCCTTTCCTCAGAAATCATGCTTCCCAGGCTGCTAATCATTTTTGTCATTCTGTGCTGGACTTTCCAATCTGTCCACACCCTACTTGCAGTGTGGGGCCCAGAACTGGACACAGTACTTCAGGTGCTGAACAAAAGTGAATAGAGTTTTGGCTTTGTTAAAAAAATATTGTTAATCTCAGAACAGGAATTATAAATCTGGCAGAAGAGTGGCCTTCATGTCAAGGGTTTGTCTTTTGTTGTCATGTAATTTTGGGTGAAAATACACCCAAATTTAGTCAAGTTTTTAATACTTTGAAAAATCAACGTTTGCCTATGCTCAGTAGAGACTTTCAGAGTTTTATGCTGAGTATGGAAATTTAGATATGTTCCAGCCTGTAAATGAACAGGGTTTCCATGCAGTCACTATTCTGGGCACCTTATCTGATAGCAGGTAGCATGTCTCCTGTGCTTTCAGTGACCCTTCTGCTGGACTTGAGAAAAACAAAGTGCCTGATTGAAATGCAGAAGTGGCAAGCAGAACTTTTAAGGGAATTTGATTACAGCAAGGTTGGGACTGAAGCCTGGCAAGAGAAGAAAAGCAACTGGAACAGTCTGGGGAGAGTGAGACTAATACTAGCATAAGAAGCGAAGGAGCACAGACTGGAACTGGGTAAGGGAGGAGACCTGGTTGAAGAGGCTGGGGAAGAAAATGGTCTGGGACAAAGCCAGCTTAGATGGGCAGGGCATGAAGCACTTCAGGAAACGGGAAGAAGAACCATACACGAATGTCCCTTCAAATACTGGCGTGGAACAATGCAACCTTACGTCTTGCCATTCCTTTTTTGTCAGCAAATACCTGAAACCCTCTAGCAAAGTCCCTGTATCCTCTTGCCATTCTGCAGTAGTGGTCCCACAGAGTATGACACCCCACCACTCATAACCGTTTATTCCATCTGTTCAAATAGCAAAGATCTGTTTGGCGGATAAGAAGATTATAGTCCTGCTCATGGACCACAGGGTGCTACATGATAGTCTTTCAGTTTTTCCATTCAAGCCTAAGAATTCACACACAGAAACTATCTTAATGTTTTAACTTAAAAACGTTAAGTACTCAAAATGCAGGGGATGCTGATTGGCAGAGAGGGACAGGGACACACAAAAGTCAGCTCTTTCAGCTAGTCAGCAGTGGAGGAGAGGGGGTAGTTGCCGTCTTGGCTGCTGTCTTTCATGCTGGCAGCTCGCTCCACTCCGGTGGGGTGCAAGCCTGGGCTACTGGCTCCCACTGGGGAGCCAGCATTTTATTTTTACTAATTTTTTTCCATGCAAAATCATAGGAAATGCCAGTTTTCACGGTGATCACAGAAATTGCCTTTTTCCATGGTTTCCGTGAAGATCATCAATTGTGTAGATGACTATGCATATATAGTATTGACTTCCACGAAAAGCTACTTTTTTCTTCACAGAGCTATGTGCTACTCATTTAATGAACAGCTATGCATAATTTAGTTTTTTTTCTCACTGTTCATTGTATGGTTCTTTTCTTCATTTCCTACATACTAAACTAGTAGGAACAATTATGACTAAATCTAAATTTTGCAGAAAAGCTGTTTTATCAAATCTGATACAATTGCAACAAAGTTTTTTGTGAGGAAGGTATTTTGGCTCCAGGCTTCATTCCAGTCCAGCACAAAAGCAAACTCTAAAATCTCTGAATTGCTGCAAAACAAACAGTATTATGCTCTAAACCGCACATTTGCAAATACTAGTTTTGGTTGTCCAGTTTGGGATGTCCTATATCTGTATTTTTGGACAGTACTTACATCATTAAGAGCTACATAATGCTGAAGTTCAGTTCCTACTATCTTTAGTAGGTATAGATATTCAGCATTTCTGTGAATCAGACCAGAGGGTCTAAAGTCAGGTAGCCAAAAGATAAGAATTACCCAGTAGGTAGCCACCTTTGAAAAAAATTGATATTAAGTTAATTACCTACCCAAACAGAGGAGCTTGACCAGGAATTCTTGGGTCAGCTCACCGAGGTAGCAAAAGCTAAGGATGTGGTAGTCATGGGGGACCTGAACTTCCCAGACATCTGCTGGGAAGAGCAGTCGGCCAGGTCCGAGCGCTCACGTAGGTTCTTGGAGAGAGTCCAGGACCTTCATCTAACCCAGGAGGTGCACAGCCCCACCAGGGGGGATGCCTTGTTGGACTTGGTGTTGGCCACGGGCGACGACCTGGTGAGGGGGCTGCGGGTGCTTGACCCC